TTCCGGATATCCAAACGGATTCCAGGAAAATGTCTTTTAAAAAAAAAAAGGAAATCTATAGAGAAAAAAATTGTAATTTTGCAACAATGTATAACATATTATATATATTACCATGAATATGCATACTTATTTCTAGCATTTGTATAAAAAAAATCAACAATTTAATGATTAATCAATTTGAAATCAAATTTTAATCGAATATATTTTCAGATACTAATGATCCAATTATCTGGTCGAATAGTAAAAAAGTGCCGGATAAGACCGGATACTGGATACTTTCCGGATATCCGGTGCATTCTTAGTTACAAGTAACGATTGATTTTTCTAACTCTGATGTTACCATCATCATTATAAAAAAATCACAATGTAATTATCAAATCATTGTTACAACAAGCTAATGATCAACAAAGTAAAGACGTTATAAGTAACGCGTTACTTGCCAACCATGGATATACGTATAAGTACAAAATTAACATGAGTAAATTCGTTTGAGTAACTATAAACTGAATTAAAGCAACAAGTGCTGCGAGAACTGATATAGTTTTCACATTTTGATATAACTAAATATATCTACTATATATAAAGTTTATAGTATAAAAAAAGATTGGCTGATGCAGCAGATTAGATGGTAAAATATAGCATAGCATTTTTAATTAATTGCAGCAGTCAATTTTTGGTTGCGTTAGCCTATCCGCAATGTCAGTATAGAATTTCGATAGGCAAAACGCAACCAAAAATTGATTGCTGCAACTAAAAATGCTGTGCCATATTTTACCATCTAATTTGCCGCAGTAGTCAATCTTTTTTTTTCAGTGTATTTAAACTAGTATAGGACCATAAAGAAAACAACGCAAGAGTAAAAATAAACAGGATTGAATTTGTACTAATTTGTACCATTGAAAAAATAAGTTAATATTTTACGTTTTTTCTCCTTAAAATGACTTTATTAGTATATACTTTCAATCTACATGTTAGTAACCTCAACAAAAAAACCGATGTAAACTCAACACTCAATTAAAAAAAAAAATTTTAACGTACAATACATTAATTTGGTTTGCACTTGTTTGTACCATCTTTTTTTTCATTTTTCAAAAGATCAAAGTGTTCAAAATTAAATTTTAAAAAACTATTATCACCTCACTTTGAGACATTATTGTTTCCGAAAAAGAGAAATTATCATCTAATTCAGCATCACTTGTACCTATTTATACTTTTTTTTCCTTTTATTTACACCTTTAAGGGGGTGATTAACCGAAATTTTAAAATAGGAGTAAGAGCTAACCGTTATTTCTGAAGATATTTTTAATTCGCAAATAGGAGATTTCGGATTGAAATGAGTATAAACGATTGCGAAACAGCATCTGCTTGAGATTGCAGATTTCAAACATCTCAAAATAAAAAATATAAAATAAGTTTCAGAAACTTATTTAAAATATAAAATCATAGAAGTCGGTAAAATCACTGATACTTATTTGAAATAAAAAATATAAAATAAGTTCCATAAAACTTATTTAAAATATTAAATATTAAATTATATTAAATAAGGAATAGATCACAAGAAATTATTTAAAATATAAAATATAAAAAGGATCCGAAAATACATTTATTTATTTAAAATATAGGATAACTTTTATTTAAAATGTCAAAATAACTTGTATTTTACTTTAAATAAGTTTTTCGAAAGCTATTTCTTATTTTAAAAAATAGATTTCGGAAACTTATTTAAAATATAAAGTAACAAATATGTATTTTAAATAAATGTTTCAAGTAGCATTTAAATAAAAAATATTTTAATGATTTTATTTGAGTATATATTTAATGAGTTTATTTGAATATACGAATACATTTCTAAATATATTTCTAAATATAAAATTTCAGTTTTTTTTTATAGCTACAGGACCTATAATTAATATTTAATATTAACCTTTCACGAACCAGATGGAAAATCAACATATGGATCACATGTAAATATATCTCATATTCCATACTGCAATACATCATGATAAGTATAATTTAATTACTTACTGTCACTTTTACCGATGGATTGGTCACATAACTGATACAATTTATTTAAAATAAAAAATATAAAATACGTTCCAGAAAATTATTTAAAATTCACAATCGATAAAAAACTGATACAACTTATTTAAAATAAAAAATAAGTTCCAAAAATTTATTTAAAATAATATTTATTTTAAATAAAAAATAAAAATTAACGAAGTTATTTTTAATAATAAATAATAAATAACTGTTTAATTTTTTTATTTTAAATGTATATTTTAAATAAATTTATTTGAAATAAAACCGTGCCCTAGTTGTACGTATAAAATTTGTATTATATGTTGTTACCTTTATAGTTGCCACAAATATGTATTTTTCACTGAATAGTCACCTAACTTCTCATAAACAAATAAATACGACCATCATGTCAATAATATTCTCAACAGAAGTTAACATTTTGTAAGCGCTTTGAGCTGAATTAAATATCATTTTAGATCTAAAGGAATAGATCTATCTCAGCGAAGAAAACTTCCAACAATAAAATAAACATTCTGCTGAATGCGATGATTATTACCGATTATTTCGATCTGGCGTAACTCGCTGACTCGCGTAAAAGAACAGTAGTATCTTACGCCATGATGCTTCGCTTGCTTAGGCCTATTATACAATAGAGTCGCAAATCATAAACCGTAAAAAATTGATCAATTACAGGCGAACATGAGAAAAATAATCGACTATGACTGGTTAATTTCTTATGGCTTACGGTTTAAAGCCCTATTGTGTAAGTCCGAAATATAGTAAGCTTTAAGTCTTAAGGAATTGACCAGTCATAGTTGATTATTCTTCTCACATTCAACTATGATTGATCAATTTCTTAAGGCTTACTACTCTATTGTGTTTGCGGACTAACAGGCCTTAGCGCCGAAACACTATCGTATCTTCAGAAAAGTAGAAATAGAAAAGTAGAAATAAGTAGATTATATAAATTGCATAAATCGTTTATGTTTCTCAAGTGTATTTGAATATTATCACACAGCGGCATACGTGGATCCTTTTACGGGCACATTCATAGTCAATGAGCTTTATCAAATGAAGTTTCCTGATGAGAGCCACGACGCTTTGATCAGTTTCGAGGAAGCAAACGATCGTACAATCCTGCGGCAAAATGTGCGTCAATAAATTTTAAAACATTATTCGATGCGAGAGAGAGAGAGAGAGAAAGAGAGAGAGAGAGAACGCGTGCACGTGCGTGCGTATGCGCGCGCGCGCGCGCGCGTGTGTGTGTGTATGTGTGTGTGTGTGAGACGAAGCGAGCAAGCCCTTTTGGTAGACGTATTGCAGAACGGAAGCTGGCAGCCTGGCACTAAAGGGACACATTTACGTCTTCCCAGGAGTGCGTTAGCTAGCCGGCTAGCCGTCGGCCAAGCTGGCCGACCATCCAACCGACCCCAACTCTCGTCAGCGACCTCCCTTTTGCCAACCTTGATGTTAACCAGGGCCGGTCAACCTCGCCAGTTCGTTTCAAACTCAAGCTCGATTCCTCTGTTAGTCCGTGCTAATCGAATAACCGCGCATATAAGCGTATGTCGAATTCACGGAAACTCTGTTAGCCATTAGGAAAGCGGTAATCCTCCAATTATTGCGCAGTCATCGGGGAGCTCGGTGGTTGGGTGAGCCGGACATTGCAAAGTCTCGCGAATTTCCGGAGAAGTAAGAGTCGGCATTTCCGCAAAATTTTCTCGCTAACGGGTCAAACGATTCTCGATGATATTATAAGCTTGATAGAAGACACTCCTATCTATTATTAACATGAAAAATAGGGTGATGAAATTTTTACGCGCTATACTCAACAAAGTATATATATCGCATATTATTATATGATTGAGTTACAAATTTGGACTGTTACTAATAATATAATTTACAAAGTAAAAGATTTAAACAAAATAAAAATTATTCCTGCATTAATTGCAATTATTCTAAGTTTCGATTTATGTTTATATAAATTTTAAAAGGAGGCCCGGTAGTGTCTCGCGCCATTATGCTTAGCGCCGAGACACTACCATGTCTCCTGATAAGAGAAATTTAAAATAAAATAATATTTTAATCTGTTTCCTTCATGAATGACAAAAAATATTGTAATTATTCAATAATGATCGCTTTTGAATTTAACAAAAGATCTATTTGCGTAGTGTGTCTGTGGTCCTCACGGAGTTATCTATCGAGGACTAGTCTACCCATGCTGTGGAGCCAGCGAGAGATTAGTCAACTTAAGTCGGCTCAATCTCTCAGTCCCTTACCAAAGCTTTGGCAGTTACAAGGTAATCGAATTACAGAGAGCATATGTCGAATGCATGGGAGCCATTGTATGTATCTGTGACTCACGGACCGAGAGAGAGAGAGAGAGAGAGAGAGAGAGAGAGATGAGAGATTGAGAGCATTATCTATTCGCCACTAAGCCGCAAGGAAACCCGATTTCTCCAGAATTTCGCATTAGCGCATTTACGTTTTGCATTGAAAATATTCGTTCCCTTACTTCAAAATAACTTAAAAAACGTGATTTTTAAATTATTACTATAAATGAGACACAGGTAAATATTATCAATCATCAAAAATCGACTAATTTAACTTCAACAAAAATCGTCAAAACATTACAACTCAAAAGAGTGATTTTTAAAAAATCGTCAAAATTGTCGCAATTCAAAAAGTTCTTTTTTTAAGGATTGTAAAATAAAAATAACAAGAATAACATTTAATCGTATTAAGAATATAATTCGTTTTGCCGATATTATTTGATTAGTCAATAATTTTCTGTCAAGTTAAAATATTTTTCCCCTTTTCTGGGAAATGTACCTAATTTTTTTAATTGTACGTCACTTTTGAAGTAAGCAAGCGATATGTAACATAAAACAAGAAATGAAGGATCTAATAAACATTTCCAGCTATTTGGGAGAAAATTAAATTCGTTTTGACTTTCTCAAATCGTTACAAAATGGTTCGAGCATCTCTGCGCCGAAGCTTTCAACCTTGCTTGAAATATTCGCAAAGAGAATTGGATATACTGAAAACACTTCGACCTAAATGCATCGAAGTTGTTTCGAGGCAACTCTCGGGCCCTTCGAGCATAAAAGCGATGGTTTCCCTCTGAGGTCAATTCTACTTTATACTTATCCCTTCGACGTCGAAGCGGGAATCTTTCTCTGTTCGAGACACCGTTCGAATGCTGTAATTCAAAGTTTCTCGTAAAGTCTTCTTAAATTAAATCCTTCCGTCTCTAACCTGCCATGCCATTTGAAAATCTTATCTACAAATTTCCTGCCAGTCAAATAAGCAATCTCTAGTGCAAAAAGTAATAACCCTTTTTTATCACATGATAAGGCACCTGTTAAGGTCTAAGAATCATCTTTATACGGATCTAGGCGACTTTAATCGTTTTACGAAAAGATAATTAAAATTGAAAGTTTCAATCAAAGTAAGAGTATCAAATTATAAGAATCTTGCTTGTCAAATATGTGACACATTACGTATATCTATTTGAAACTTAACGAGTAAACATGACTCACCGCTATCAAGACTATTCTGATTTTCTAGATCAGGGCCTTGGACGGAAGTTGACCTGCCATCCTGCAAATAATCTGAAACATTAAACATGTTATGATTAGTACAGTCTAATTACATCTAACTTTCTTAATTAATTTAAATTATTAAAAATTATTGATTTACAAGATTTCTGTTTCTTGTTATCAAATAGTGATGCAGTTCATGTATTTTTAGCTGCTGAAAAAATAATAGGTCAAAAAAAGTTTCATTATCATCAGGTATTGAGAAATCACAGACTTTATTTTTTAAAAAATTCTACAAATTCAAATAATATATAATACAATTTTTTTCTTTTTATTTTACGGAGTAACATACATAAGAATTACTATTCAGATGTTGAGAAATAGATATCACTGTAAGTCACTTTTTAATATTAAGTATAGCCGATAAATTTATTGTTTTAACATATTATTTAAAATTATTTATAAACAAAATAAGTTATAACATCACATTTATTTTCATATTTAAAGGGATATTGGAGTAATTATTAAATTATCGAGATATTGCAGATCGATAAAAATCTCCGAATTTCCGACTGAACGGAATAAAAAATTCTTTCACAGGAATTAAAATATAAGCAAAGGTAAAAGATGCTGCAATGGACTTTATACTAAAATTAAAAAAAAATTAAAACTTACATTTTTTCAATTCGTAGAGCTATCATTTGACGTAAATGTTTTCTTAATATATATAAATTTCATAGCTTGTATTATGATGAAATTAATAAGGTGAAGCGCATTCTTTTGGATGCGTAGCAAGAAAGTGAATTTAGATAACGTTTGACTGTTCCAGTGCTATTATAAGCAGGAAAGTGCATATTGAGAAACATTTGATTGGTTATTTCCAATAATGCTATCGCCATTATGCGTAATGTTTCATCTTATTAATTCCACCATAGTTCGTATGGACAAAACGAACAGTGTAGCACGTATTACGTGCATAAACAATATTGAGTTTATGAAATTAAGATTAAAAGATTAAAAGAGAGATTTATATTGATCTGCAAATTACGTGTACGCCTTATAGTAAAAACTCAGAATAATAAACAAAGCAGTAATTGTGTCTAGCAGTAAGTACTCGATATTGCAGGAGACGGCGTTGCAATATGTTAGATAAGACAGATGTATATGTTTAAGTGAGACAGAACAATAATATAGGAAATGAATTAAATTGTTATTATTATTGACTTTTTTTATTTAAAATTAAAAAAGTCTGTTCTATCGATGTCAATATCGATATCAAGTTCAGCCGTCACTCCAGCATCGCCTTAAAAATATTTAAATTTTGTTTGATTATATAATATATATATATTACGAATTAGCGTTATTATGTAAGAAATACTAAGCGAAGTTTTTAAAAATTAAAGAGTGATGCAGTTTTTTAAAAACGTATTCTTTTTTCAGTGTAAATCTATAAGAAACACTTATTACTTTAAAAAACAAAATGTTGATTAAAATTTGTTGTTTAGTGTTATTTATGGAAAAAAATGCCTCGAAGACTTGTCGAATTTTGTTTTGAGAACTCATGGCGATCTTGCTATGAGAAGATTCGTACGTCTTCACAAAACTCAACTTACAAGAGTTAAGATTCAGATTTGACGAAGATGTCTTCGCGGTTACATCAATCTCGCCGCGTTCCGTCTAGTCCGGCGTCGAGATCTGCGCGTCTATAACCCGCCAGGATCTTAATAGAGATTTCGCATTGAAATTTCATGGGATTTTGGGCGATCGAGCGAAACGAGTTTGGAGATACTGCGTACGGCCTATGCCTGCGTCGCAGATGATGCCGCTTGCGCGCGGACGCGAATAATACAGGAAAGGGTGGAAAAGAGCGGTACGGCGTTGATCCCACGGGAGTCATACCCCGGTGATATTGGCTCCCACAGCCATTCCTGCGCATAGGAGACCCAGCCGCCTTGGACCAATGTATCCATACGCGCGCGTGTACATCACACAAACACATATACGTATATGAGAGGAAGACTGGCCAAAATTCAAATTTCCCATCGGGATACGTGCGACTTTAAGCACAACTTGCGGGAAACAACCGCGGCGGCCAAAGCGTACCAGTTCGCATCGATAATCGAACTTTACGGCGTCCGCCTCGATGCGATGGAAAAAATTACACCGCACGTCTTCATGATATTAGTAATACATGTCGAGATAGCTTACTAGTTGGGTCAACGCATATTTTTATTAGCGCGCACGCATGCATATGCACACATCAATGATAAAATATTCGCGCATTTTATACATACTTTTTACATATATACAGGGTGTCCGGTAAGTTTTGACAAAGCGCTCGTGTGTAGATAGAACGGACTAAACTGAATGTGAGTCGAAAAGTCCTCTATCATTTTGCAATTTTAACAAGATATTATATACTAAATATTGGTTTTCAATAAGTTTTTATTCATTGTTTATTTTCTTTTCAAAATCTTGAGAATTTTTTCAGAATTCTTTCAACATTTTTTGATACCGTATTTTTTCATGTTGGTAAAAATAGTAGCCAATAAGAAAATGCAATACTAAAAAGTTGATTCTATGAGACTTCTCAGAGAAAATAATCAATTTTTGTCTTTTGCCGTTTTTCTATAAAGATCAAAAAAAAAAATTTCAAGATCATTTGAAGGTCAACTTTAAAATTTCATATGGAACCTCCCCCTTTTCATTACATTTTTCTTGTAGCATACCTCGAGAGCTTTTCAAAACATTATAATAATATAATAAAATATGCTTTCAAGTTCAAATTTAAGGTCACAAACTTCTTCTCCTTCAAAATCACACAACTTTCCTCGCTCGTATTTTTTTGGAAAAATGCTTCCTTTCCGAGTTTTCACCGTGAAAAAATTAAAATTGTCTATCCTATAAATATTACTATATATATTATTAAAATAGTCTATATGTATATCGGAGGATTTTTTATTTAAACTATAATATAGACGAGCGAAACTTGTCGTGAGAGATTGAAATAAATTTTATAAAATGTCTGATAGCAATATGTAAAATATCAATTAACTTTTTGAAACACGTAGCTTTCTAATACAATAATTTATTTTTAAGGAAGACTTTGTTTTCTAAGAATTTTTGGGATCATTGTATTTGATTCTGGCCTAAGAATTTTTAAACTCAAGTTTAAAAAAATAATTTGATTATTGTGAAATTCGATTTTAGATTCTTGATATCACTGGCTTTTGAATGTATAATCTGAAAATGTCTCAAATTTCAAAAGGATAGTAACTTTTAAAGGAGGATTTAATATCACAGGATTCAAAGTTTGAAAGTCAGTTTGGAAATTAGTGTTTGTATAGTATTGATAAACTTCAAATAAAGCGAAAGTAGAAACTTGACGTTTTACATACATATACATATATCGCAATTAAAAATTTCCTAAAATCGAATTAAATGATAATCAAATTATTTTTTTAGGAAAATTAAATGATAATCAAATTATTTTTTTAGGGAAATTCTGTCCAGCGTATTAAATTCATTATTTTGAACTTTTATCGAAATATAAAACCAATATGCATTCCTAAGCCACTCATTTCACAACCAAATTTTTCTATTTTGTATTTTTAGCTTACAATAAGTTTATATAACGTCTTTCATAGATTTATATTTTTTTACTATGGAGATTCGCACTGTTAGGTTCCTTCCTGCCACTTGCCCTCCCTTTCTCTCTCCCTCTCTTCTCTGTCTCGTGTTCTTCCCGTTTCTCGCCCTTTCGCTTTTTCTCGTTCTCTCTCTCTCTCTCTCTCTCCCTCTCGCATATGCGTGCACTTTTTCACTTTTTTTATTTATCTGTTTTGTCTACATCAAATATTATTACACATGCATATTAATGTTTATTTATATTGACAATTTTAATATAATATGTTGTGAACTGAGTGTAAAAATATATTTGTGCATAAATGTGTGCTGTAAACTTTATGTCTTTTTTCGTTACACCAGCATACTTCATCCACTCTCTTTATCCGCATTTGTCGCGCGTCCTCAAACATTTTTTGGTCCTTCGAGTTGGATTCTCTGCCAGCAATCGCGATCTCGGAAGTATCGCATTCAGTATTCCTACTTGAAAGAAAAAATAAGTAAGTAAGCCATGAGCATGGACTTGCCTATCTTATTGACCGCCCAAAGCGATATCCATGGTCGTATCCAGTCAGTCTCAAACTTGAAGAAGCCGAAAATATCACTCTTTACGCCGCCGAAACTCTCATCGTCTTCCTCAACTGTTTGTGAACATAATTTGAGATTCAGCATGAACTTATTCGAGCTTAAAGAATAGTACAACGACAGTGAATACAATACTTTTGGATTCGTTGAGTCTGCCGAAGTCACGTACGTGCAACAGCGAAGCCTTCTCAATGATACGTCACCAAGCTCAAGGTCACCGCGCCAAATTCTGCTCCAAAACAAGTCTCAGAACTTTCCTCCAAGACATCTCTGCCCCGCTTGAAACTTTGGTCCTTCTCGGGCGAATTTGAAGACTCACGTTTCGCGACACCTTCCAGTCCATCGTCGGGGACAATCCATCGGTCGCAAACGTAGAAAGATTCCACTACTTGAAGTCTTGCCTGGAGGGACCCATTGAAAAATTAATTAGCGGTGATCGGAGACAATTACCCATGTGCGTGAACATTGCTGTGTAAAAAAATATTACGAAAACAAAAAAGAATTAGCGCGCTCCAATTTTTCTCCACGTTTACCGCCGTGGCAAAGATGAAGAGCGATACCGCTGAAGAGTTGAACCGCAGTCACCAATGTCGTGAACGGTAGAAGAGCATCGGGAGGCCAATCCAAACGCACGGCTTCGACATCTTCAATCACTCTGTCATCGAGCTTTTCGATCCAAGGACTCGTCTTGAATGGGAGTCACATACGAGTGAGTCCAATGATTTGCCAGATCACGAGACACTCTTAAATTTCATCACTAAATGAGCACTCTGAACGCCGCGAAACCGAAGACGACAAGGCTACTGGAGATTCGTCGCGAACCGCGAAATCCCATCACGCGAAACGCAACATCGAAGTCACAC